TACCCGCTCTAGGGAGGTGGGGGTGGTCCTCCACACCCACACCCTCTGCCTGCCTGCCTCTTGCACAGGCTCAGGATGAATACAAAGTAAGCACCCTGGACCCCTTCTGAGTTGCATAGTTAACCTTCTAAACTTCTCAAATTAACACAATAAACAACATCCCAGAAGGGTAAGGGCGTGTCCTTTTCACCCCAAGAGGCAGAACTGCTGAGTCACTTAGCCAAACCTCTAGACTCCCCAAGTTGGCACAGTGTATCAACCATAACAATCACCATCCCATGGCAATTTACAAACCATCTTGGATGTTTTCACAGAGCAAGAAATGGTCTGTGTATTGGTGTCTGTGTATGTGTGTGTGTGTGGTTGTGTGTGCGCTCATAGTGTATATGTGCAGATACATGTGTGTGATTGTGCATGTGTGTGCCTCCAATATGTGGCGCAATTCCTAATACAAATTATATATTACAGAAATCTGCAAGTAAAGACCCAAAAGGAATTGCAGAGTCCAAACAAAGTGCTAACATGGTAGGTTCCCACTGACAGGAAGTACTTCTCTCTTTTATTTTACAAATGCTGGAATCTTTTTGTGTTCTTTATTACTCATTGATTGACTGGGGTTGGGCATTTGTACTTATCAAGAGAATAGGATGCCTGAGATTGCTTTCACTATATACTGCCATCTCTAACAGAGAATTCTGCAAAGCATGTTGTAGTGCAAGATTTTTTAACTTGGCCAAAGGAAAAAGCTAGAATTTGAGAGTTTCAAAGTCTCAATATATATTAGAAATAAGTAAAACAGTACTTTTTCTCTCGGACTTTAGTTAGCCCCACTATACATCCCCATGAGTTCTAGATGTAATTAAAAGGACAGAATTGTGTTGGTAATTCCAGGAGAGCAACATTGTTTTTCATGATTGCTTTACTAATATCTGTACTCACGAAATCAGTAAATAACTGAAGGTAAAGGATGATTTCACATTTAAATTACTATGTCTAAGGGGATGGGGATTTAGCTCAGCGGCAAAGCGCCTGCCTGGCAAGCGCAAGGTCATGAGTTCGGTTCCCAGTACTGGAGAAAAACAAACAAACAAAAAACAAAATAAATAAATAACTATATCTATTTTGGAAAATATATGAAAAAGTCAGGAATTTTGTCAAAGAGAGAAATAGCTATGGTTCGGGTACATTTCTCAGTTTTTGTCTTCCTATCATCCTTCATGTCTTTGAGTTTCCATAATGTACTCAGTACTGGATCAGTGTGAGGTTTTCCTCCACAAATCGTTCTTAGAAAGGCTCCAAGCAAGCGCAGGTGCCCTGCTTCCACTGGGACAGAGAGAGCAGGACTTTTCCTAATAGTCCTTCTGCTGCACAGCAGCAAATCTGTCCCACAGTGTGGAAAGTGGAGACACTCTAGTCTAAACAGACTGCTTGGAGCCTTACCCTAGAAAAAAGATATTCTTTTTTCCTTGTTATAGACCTCTACCTTTTAAATTGCACAATAAACCATGGCTAAGGAGATAAGGAGATCTTTAGAAGTGTAAATATATGTAGTACAACAGAATCCAGAAAACTTATTCCATTTCGTAGACATGAATGACTAAAATACATTTTTATGGACTTTACAGAAAGCAACTTATTTTTAACCATCTGTTTCTATTTAGACCTTGAAATTGGATATCCAGAATGGCTGTGCAAGCCTGGGTTGAGAACCCTGGATGTGAGAGCCTCAGTCTTCTCTAGCTATTTCCTGCACAGATTTCAGTCATTTCTAAAATGATCTTCACCAAGTCAAGAAATATTGAAGAGAAACAATTTTTTTCTGCTAATATTTACTTATAGAATTCACAACCTATGGCATAGACATATGTTGTATAAAAACAAATATCTTGTGGCTTTTCAAATGCTTAATATAAATATAAGCAGGTTGTTTTTTTTTTTTTTTTGCTCTAGTTGTCTATTACAAAATGCTAATATAGTTAATCTTAAAAAGTCAAAACTTGGAGGATGACTTGTAACCCTGAGTTTTGGAAGCAAAATATCATTTGTGAAAGGTTACTTCTTTGGGGGCATGAAGTAGTCGCATTAATTTGAATGTGGTATTATTACCACGAAATCTGGTTTTAATGCAATTGTTTCCTGCAAAAATGCCCAGGAGGGAAGTGCCGCTGTGGGGGGCATAGCTTTCAGGAGTTAATTAACAGTGAGGGAGGCAGAGCAGTAGTCAAGGTGACTACAAAATAGACCTTAAAATCACCCTGCTACCAACAGGCGGCACAAAAGGCTCCTGGCCTCTTTGAATTCCTAGTTTGCCTTTCTAGAATTCCCAAAGAAGCTGACAGAGAAGTCGGAGGGTTGGAATAATTTAGAACTAACTCCAGCTGGGAGCACATGCTCATAACCTCCACACTGGGCTTTAAAGGTCTTCAGGGTACAAGGCTATGTCCATTGCTGTGCGGTTTCTGAGTCCCTGTCATGCCAGGGTAGTGCCCGGGGCTGTCTTGGGAATGATTCAGCTCCTTCTGCCAGTGCCTCTCCATGGGTTTTCCTGCGTCCTCTTTTCTGTCTGTAAATTGTTAAGCCTATGACTGTTATTTTTCGTTTACTGAAATAAAGTTCTCAAGTGCTAGATGAAACTGTTTTGATTCGGTGAAATAAACGAAGGCTGCAGGCAGGGAAGAAAGACTACTGTCCTTGGTGACACTCTGGACTCTGCTGATTTTCCTTCCTTTGGGGGAGCGCAGAGCAGCGGCGAGGAAGCCCTCCTCACCTGTCAGCTTCCCGTGCATTTGCTCTCCTCAAAACCACCACATTCAAAAAGAATTGGTAAATATATTCATGAAGCAAATGACACTCATTTAAATATTTTATGTAAATCTGTGGGAAAAAAGAAGAGAAACTCCGTGTCTGATATATAGTGGCTTCATTAAGACAAACAGTAATCCTCTGATGTCTACAATTAAGGGACAGTTGTATCTTCCTATTCTCCTGAGCACTACATATGTTGTTGAACGATATACATTTTAAATATATTTTTCTTAATGCCTATTACTTTTACAAATATTCAGTGTCGATGTAATTTTATGCTTGCATATAACATATTTTGGTCATATTCACCCTCTTTAGCCTTAAATAATACATGTTAGTAATACCTTACTCCCTTTGTAGAAAGATCACTGTCCTGATTTGTTATTTTTTATCATTCCCGTATCTTTTCTGGAAAACTCAATCACCACCATCCATTTCTGATTTGGGACCCATCTAACTACAATTTCTGTGTAGTATTTTCCCCAAATTTCTTCTTCCCAATTATAAATATGTGAGGGAGCAGCCACATTCTCCTGCCCCATAGCTTTCTGGCTAGACCGTCTCCAGATTTCTTCAAATAAGCCTGGGCTTTCTCATAGGCAAGACTCTTTTGGTTTTAGGTAATGCTCTCCAAGCCTGCCTGGGCTTCTTAGTACCCGGTCTCGGGGCTTTCTCCCATCTCTCTCAAGTGCTGCCACTCTCTATTCTTAGGGGTCCTCTCTTTCTTTCCCATGCTGTGTACAGATTAGGGAGCAACTTTCATGGTTACTCCTTACTAGTGATTGAGCTAATGAAGAGACGTTTTCCCTCATGAACTTCATGGTGACTGCAGAGGAATGTGTCAGCAGCTCTAGCTCCATCCTCTGGGATAGAGGTGTGGCAAGAACTGGAATAAAGTCATTTTGCTGATCAGCTCCTGTAATCAGTTTTTCTGGTTGTGAATGTCTCCACAAACTCCACACAAGCTCCACTGACCTCTAATCCTGGATTTTGCCCTAATCTTGCAACTTCATTCCTATATCTAATCCAGTTGCCTGGAACCAGGGTTCTACTGGTCCTACTTAGATGTAGTTCTAGCCTCATGCTTTCTGGCTCTTTCTGAGTCCTTTCTATTAAGCCCAGGCTTGCTGACAGGAACACTGCTGGGGAAGGATAGATTTGCTAGACCTGTGGTCTAAGGCTCCTTGCTGCCCTGCTATACGCTTTGTTCTCTTGCTAATGGACTCTGCCTGAACTCACATCAAGTCTGTTACCTTCCAGGCTGCTGGGGCTGGGTACCGGACTGACTTTCCGCAGCTGGGTTGTGCCCACTTTGTCCTAGTCAGAGGCAGATTTGTCAAGTGAGAGAAGCTTGAGCTTCAGAGCTCATTATAGGTACATCCCCTTCTAATAACTTGTATCTTCCAATTTTCCATCTATCTTCCCTCTTTCCCTTCCCCGTCCTTCCTTCCTTCCTTCCAATGCTAAGAATAGAACTTAGGTCCTCATTCACCCTAATCATGTTCTGTACTACTGAGCTGCACCCCAGATCCTACATCTTTTTAAGACCTCATTGGGCTAGATTTGTGTTAGGGAAAGGTAAACCAAATGCTTTATGTGCAAAAATAGCAACACCTACAGGCAACAAATAGGACAAAGACGCATCTTTGCTAGCTTGAGTTTGTAGTCTCCGCTGAGAAGAGGGCTGGATCAGCTAGAGATACAAGTGGGGTGGGACAGGTTTCCATGTTTCACCTACTTCTCCACATACTCCTGGGATGAGTGTGGATGGGGACAGGGACCCAAGAAAGTATTTTATAGAAAGTAAAACACACTGGAAGGCTGTAACCAGCTGAGCTTTGGCTAAGCACCCCCACCCCGCCCCACTTTCCAGCCTATACACAGATCAGTGGCTTACGGGTTGGAGTTCCACAAGCTCTTGGGTTTTAAGTAAAACCTCTACCTAAATCACTGAACACTAAATGAAGCAGCCTGAGAGGCCATTCATAGAAAACCAGGATAAAATACACAAACAAGGTTGAAATCCTGAGCAGAGGCATCAGCTGCTACACGCTGCAGGAAAGAGGTCAGGGTACGAGCACACGAGGAGCAACAAATTCTGCAGTTGAAATCAGCAAGTCACTTTCAAAAACACTCAGAAAGCTCACCAGAGACCATATCTGCTATAATAAACTGCATAAATGATATTTTTAAAGGAACGTCCAGTATATTTCTACATCAGTTCCTTCAGGAATACAGCAATGGTGATTCAGCACAAAGCAGAAAAACCTGCCCCCTTCCATGGCCGACCACCAATACCCCCAATATTGGGTCAAGCATTCTCCGATATTGACCACCCCCCACAGCCTGTGTGCCACAGCAACTGTCCTGCTATTGAATATAGAATTCACATTGCATGTGCTAAAACTGGACAGTCACATTCTAAAGAAAGGTTAATAACTTCCTTATTCCACGTAGCAGTCTCTGAGGCTCAAGATCCACGAGTGACATTCTTGAGACCACTAGGTGGCCACACAGCTCAGTAAATTTCAGAGTACCTGGAAAATTGCTCGCTGAGCCTAGTGCTTTTCCAGCCATCACTAGTCTTCAAGATCCTGACGTTAAAGTTATTAAGACATTTGCTAAATTTTCTTCTTGATAATTAGCAGTGCAAAGCTGGGTAAATCTTCCCAGGTACACTCTACTCTGCTGGGTGTGGGCCAAAGTAGACAGGAGTAACCCATACCTAAACAAAAGCAGGACAAGCTAACATCCTGGAACATTTGCCTGGGGATTTTTGGATTGGAAAAGCAAATCCTCTACTTTCAATCTGAAGTCAACAATCTTGATATTGGGAAGTCAACAGACCCAAATAACTAAGTCTCCTGGAAATTATCATGGTGGTCTAGTTTTTGGTTTTTCAACTATGTATTACTTGGTTGTTGGTTTATTTATTTATTTTTGAAAGCCAACCAATTAACAAGGCCCACTGCTGCCATGGAAACCTGAGGAGCTGCCTCCCTCCCCCGGGGGATGTGTGATGGATAGTACATGTCAGAAAAGCTAGCAGCCTATGAGTCTTATCTGACTTGGTGGATCCTTGATGACACTTGATGTCCCTCTGCTAATCATTGTCACAGAGTGAGAAATACTGATGAGGTTCCAGGGTTATTGGAAGCTTCCTGATCACTTTCTAACAGAAAGTCAGGCTTTTAGAAATCTCAAGAGCCTTTACATAAAGAGGTGGCTGTGTTGGGGCTTGACAGAATTCATTAACATCTTTCTCAAGGAAAAGCTGTAATTGTGAGCTACACGTAATGGATATTGATTGCTATACTCTGCATATATAACTTTAAACATCAGGGTTCTCCAGGGATAAAAGATCCAGCAAAAAGGGGTCTTCAGGAGCATAGGAACACTAGCTGGAGAGAAATGGTACAGAGCTGTCTTAAAGAATCTCAGAGAAGTGGAATAAAAGATAGGGCTGTTTGCACAAGGATATCTGTGATTCACTGTGACAACAAGGTGAACAAATACGGCATTTGCTGACTATACACTCTCTTTTTTTTGGTACTGGGAATCGAACTCAGGACCTTATTCTTGCTAGGTAGGCACTTGTGCCACTGAGCTACATCCTCAGCCCTGAGTATACGCTTTTTGTCAGGTATTATTCTCAGAACTTCATATGTATCATTTCACTTATTTTAAAAAACTCTAAGCACTACTATTGTTATTCTCATTTCATAGCTTAAGAATGTGAAGGTCAAAATAAGTCAAATAATTTGACAGAGAGCCGATTAAATAGTGTAGTAGGAAGTAGTGTCTATTTGATATAGCATCACAAGCTAGGGAGACTGTGCTTTTAATCATTACTATGCTACTGGTATAAATACAATTTTGACAGGAAAAAAAATCAACACACATATACACACATGAAAGTGAAATTAATGTATCTTACTGTCATTTTCAGTTTTCACCCACCAGATTTCTCAATCTTTGCAGCAACATTAACAGTGGTGTATGGGTTTACATAGCAAGGAAGAAAAAAGCAAAGCCAAAGGGCTGTCACCCAGTTGAGACAGAGATTGCTGAGGTGCATTTGCTGAAGGTAGAGTTTTATTGGGGAGGGTGGGGTGGCAGGAACCAGAGATTTTAACAGCTCCTATAGCTCTCAGAAGCCACTCCCTGGCAGGCACATGCTTTGTGATCCCGGAATCTTTGTTTTACAGAGACCTCAATTTCTGAATGCTGCTTCTTACAGAACAGGGCTACCGCTAGGTGGAGTTTAATCCACGCAGTGTGCCTGGGCAACTCTGCCGCTGCCTCTGCTATCACTGTATGGAGTGGACAGCAGCAGCTAGGGGGCCAGAGCTTGGCAGTGATCAAGAAAGAGACAGAGCCCTTTGTGCACCTTTCTTTCTTGCTTTAGTAAATACAGAAAGCACCAGAGAAGTGGTTACTTCGAGCACAGAAAGAATTACTTTGCAGATGAAGGTGCTAGGAATAACATGTCCTTCAACAAACAGCCAGTAAATAGAAAAACAGAAATATGAACAAACCTCTGGCCAAAGCCGTGATCTGAACTGCCATGCACTCCAGTTCTGAGCTGACTTTAGAATCACAGGGGCCACCTGAATGACCTCAGTCCAGGCTAGAAAGGGTAGCTTTGATCCCAAAGACACTGGCCAGCAGAGACCAATTAGTGGGCTCCCATCCACCCTCACCCACGTTTTCTCTACAAAGCATCCGTGTATTAATTTCATTTTCACATGTTCTCCAGTTCATCAAAATTATAAGTAGGGGGCAGGAAAATTTCAAAGGTCAATTGTTATTCTAATAGGACTCAAGAGAGAAATCACTGTTCATATTTTAGAAAAATGTGAACGATGTGAAACAAATCCCTCCGCATTTAGAATAATTCTTATTCATATTTAAACTGTGTTTTTCCACCCACATTTGTAGCATCAGCCTCTTTCTATCAAAGTGCATGTTAGTAAGCTGGGGATGGAGGACAACAATTTGAGTAGCGTCTCACATTTCTCCAAATTACAGCTACACCTCTCTGGCTTCACCAGGGAAGTTAGTGGAGGATTAATTCTATCTTCACTGAAATGTCCCTGATGTTGTCTCTGAAGAAGGGCACTGCCCAAGTTCAAGATGTCATCACCTACTGCAGTGCTCGGGCAGGTGGAAGGAAGGAAGGGTAATGTCATAAACAGCACACTGAGCAAATGTGATACCTTGGTATTGAGGCACTGCCACGCAATTCAGAAGAAAAATGAGTCAATCTGCTCCATCTTGTTAATGCTGCCTGGGTTGTATAACCAGCTTCTGTGCTGAAAATATCACCAGCTGGACACTGTGACACTCAATATCCCAACTTCAGACATGAATTATGAGGCACAACCATTGAATGGTTATAGTTACTATGGTTCACCTGGAGCTTCAACTGAGAGAACACAGGCTTAGGAGCAAAAATGATAAAATGGCAGTTACATGACACCTTGCCCTGCCTCAAAGCACAGCCAAATGACAGTCTTTTCACTAAGATCTCCAAGGTCTCCTCTAAAAATAAACAAAAGTAGAGACAGAGGTCAAGAATACTCATAGATTTCAGGCCAAAAAATGGTGTACAAATAGCGAAATAAATAGTATGTCGGACTGACAGCACTTAGGCTTTGTTTATTCATTCACTGCCTCTTTCGGCAGTCCTCATTGTGTTCTTGTTGTAGCTGAGCTGTTGTGCTTGACATGTGACGATGTGAGGGCATCCAGAACTCTTGCCTAAGAAACTAAGCTTCATAAGAAAACAAAGTGGACTTCTAGATAGTTAGAAAATAATGCAACGGAGGCCACAAGGGAAGAAAACAGAGTGTCAGTTGCTCAGGGAAAGGAAGAAGAGGCATATGTTGTTTTCTGGAACAAAGAGATACTAGTTAGGGAGATTTTTATTGAGATCTTAACAGAGCTCCAAAGGTTTTTCAAGCAGAGAATCAACATTCGGGGAGAGAGGCAGTGAATTTGTGCGTAACACAGTTTGACGAGTGCACGTGTTGTGAGTAGCTTAGTGTAGCTGAGCCAGGAGGCCGCAGAAAAGTGGGTATGAAGTAGATTAAAGTAGACTCTGCCTGGTGTTCATGCGGTGGGTGCCCTAACAGCTATGGGCTCAGTCAGTGATTTAACTGAAAGCAGCATGGTCCCACTTGGGTTTCAGGAGAAAAAAGAGTCAGGGCTTTGATGGTGGATGAGAGAAATTCTGCTGTAGACCTGAGGCTGGAAGCTCCCAAGCCTCACAGAGACCAGCAGTGGGAGAAGCAAGACAGGAGGACAGCTTCAAGAAACTCTCTGTAAACATGTACTAGTACGAAATATAAATTAAGTAAAAAGAAGACGCCTTTTCTAGATTTCTTGAGGGAGCAGGAATGAGGGAAGGGGAAGACAGGATGTGTCTTCAACATTTCTGATTTGCCTCGATGGGGCGCTATCGCTTCCTTCACCGAGAAACAAAACGCGGGTGGAAAAACTAATTAGACTGGAGGTATGAGGGAGGTCAAGTTTTAAACTGACTTTCACATAAATAAGTGCACAAAAGTAATAGGATTATAAAAGTACATTAGAGAACATGGCTGACATATATTGTTCTTGCAAAAATTATTTTAAAATACATATTCAGGGGCTGGGGATTTAGCTCAGGGGCAAAGCGCCTGCCTGGCAAGCGCAAGGTCGTGAGTTCGTTTCCCGGTACCGGAGAAAAACCAAAAAAAAAAAACAAATAAAATACATATTCAATTTTACCCAGTTACTGTGATTTCAGGGTGTATCTAACACCTTGGACAAGAAGCACAGTGTATGGTACCGAGAAAATTCCTCATGTACTGTTTTTTATTTAAAGCAAACATGTTCTTTTTAGCGATAGTGACGATGAAGTCCAACAAAGTTAAATGAGATGTGGAAAATAACTGAAATGTTGATAATTCTAGAAATAGAATTCCCCTAGCTTCTCATGTAGTACATTATCCTTGTTGATTCTCAGAAGCATTGTCAGTATGGAGTAGGCTATAGGGCTACTCTGAAAATTATCCCACAGCTCCAGAGAACAGAATACTCTTCCCCTACATAAGCCGTTCTAGAGCTGTCACCCTGAGCTCCAGTGAAGGTCCCACAGCAGAGAAAGGCATTCAACTGTGAAAGACAGAGTGACAGATTCATTTTCCCAGTTCTAACCAGTATTGTGTTCACCATCTGGGAACATTAAATCCAATGAAATCTTTAATATCTTTTATATCTTCTGTGCTTCTACCTAAATTTTTGAGTATATCGAATATTGTTACAGTACCTGTTGTAATGTCTTACTTTAATTCAAATAGCTGTGTCATTTCTGGTTGATTTTAATGAAGTTTTCTCTTGATTAAGGGTCATACTTTCTTCCTTGTTTACATGCCTGGTCATTTTTTATTAACTATCACACATTGTAAATGCCACCTTTGCTGGTTCTAAATGCTTTGTTCTACATAGTTTTGAAAATTTCTCTGAGAAGCAGTGACAT